TTCCCTTCATTTTTAAACATGAGGGTACTATGGTAAATTGGCTTGGGGAGAGGTTCAAAATTAAGTAGAGGTGGGGTCAAAAATTAGGTTTTTTTAAAAGGGGTTCATTTATCCAATTTGAACTATTGGTGGGGTCAAAAACCCCAATTTCCCCTTATTTATGATTCCTTAAATATTTTATTCATGGGAAAAGACCAATTTACCCTCATTGTTAATAAATGTGCATTTATGACTTCCACCTAACCATTTCACCAAACTGTAAACTCATATTTTACATATGTTTGAACTTGTTAATATTTTAGATTATGTATAACTCACAGATTGCGTTTTCAAAATCCGCTCAACTATCTACGTGTTTGATCTTTCTTTGTCCCCACACTATCCAAAATCATTGTCCCCACAATTTCACTTGAGGTATGTTACCTTTACACAAACTTTTGTACTCTATAATTGTTGAACTTTTTTTTAAATATTTTCCCATTAATAGGTTCAACTACTAGATTTGGCTATTGACAAGAAAAAAAAATCAGATTGTTGCAATTACTTCAATCCCGGATCTATACCTGGTCCGGGACTGAATGTAAACAATCCCGATGCATCACGTATCGGGACTGTCTCGAATGTATCTCGAACCAGTCTTGGTCCGAGACATGTCCTGGACTAATCTCGAAGCATATTTAGTCCGGGACATGTCTTGGACCAGTCTTGCTTCGAGATTTGTCTGGGACATGTCTCGGACCAAGACTGGTCCAAGATTCATCCGAGACATTTTTTTTATTTTTTTTATTTTCTTAATTTTTAATATTTTATTTTTGAATGATCGATTTTCCTATCTCACTTAGTTTTATCTATTTGCAGGATGCCTCGTGTTTTCATAACATTCGGTGGAGAATGGAATGATAGTGAAAAAGATTATGTCGGCGGTCGTACGAGGGGATTGACAGTGGATAGTACAGTCACGTACAGAGAATTTCTTGGTCACGTGTATAGATTGAGTAACATTAACCCCCTACAGTTTGATATTATAATTAGACGCGTGTATCATTTTAAAACCAAAGTTTGTGTGATGGAAATAATTGATGACGATGACTTGCGTTTTTTTTTACTGGTGAGGATGTATCTGAATTGCCTATATATATATATATCTAATGTGCCAAAGCAGGTACATGGGAATGAAACGTACATGCCTTCTTTCCCATATTATTTAGGCCAAAACGTGTTCTCGATTCCTATGTCCGCAGCTTGTATTCCCCCATTCCAGAGACCCACATATCCTATACCCTCATTTCCTTCCTCATCATCGAACCCCTCTTCTTCCCGACAGCCACACCCCTCCTACGGGCATATAGTTCATGATGTAGAGGGTTTAACACCATTGGGGTCAGATGTTGTTCCATGTAATCTAGGAGATGATAGGGTGTGCGATTGGGATGTGCCGGGAGTATGGAATGATAACGAAGATGAAAGTGGTGAATCATATGACCCGTTGGCAGAGTCTGAAGAAGGACACTCTCAAGCAGAATATGGGAACGAAGAGCATGACGATGCGCTTGATGATGAGCTTGAGCCTGATGTCGAACAAGTGCACACTAAGATTCGCAGGGATGAAGAAGCGGTCCGGCCACCGGGATGTAATGGTCTCACCGGAGACCCTAATGATGAGAAATTGCAACTCATAGTACAGTCTTATGGGAGAAATGATGTTAATGAGGGCGATGTATTTGATAATAAGAAGGAGTTGAGTTTGAAAATGCATTTAGTTGCAATGAGGAAGAATTTTCGGTTTAAAGTAAAAAAGTCGACGCCGGAGCTATATATACTGCGGTGCGTTCATGCTGATTGCACTGGAGACTTCGAGCTACCAAGCTAAAGGAATGCACTTTGTTCAAGATAAAACAATATTGTGCTGCCCATACGTGCTATGGTGGAGCTTTAAAACATGATCATAGGCAAGCCAAAAGTTGGGTGGTAGGACATCTTGTGTAGGAGAAGTTCACAGACGTCTCTCGCACCTATAGACCGAAGGACATTATACAAGACATGAGGAAGGAGTATGGTGTCAATTTAAGTTATGATAGAGCATGGCGTTCTAGTGAAGAAGCACTCCGGCTTATTAGAGGTGATCCAACATCGTCATATGGTCTACTTCCAACTTATGGTGAAGCTTTGAAAATCATGAACTCAGGTATTATTTTCGAATTAGAACTAGAAGGTGGCAAATATTTCAAATATGTATTTATGACATTGGGTCAATCGATTCGAGATTTTCTGGGTTGTATTAGACCAGTGTTGGTTGTTGACGGGGCCCACCTAAAGGGAAAGTTCAGAGGGGTATTATTATCAGCTTTTGGTGTCGATGCGAATAACCAGATTTACCCGGTAGCATTTGCGATTGTCGACGGTGAGACGGTAGCATCATGGGTGTGGTTTATGACTCAAATAAAACGTGCGCTCGCTGGAGTTGATAATTTGGTTTTCGTTTCTGATAGACATCAAACCATTTGCAAGGCAATCGACAAGGTATTTCTTGCTGCATTTCATTGCTTTTGTATACAGCATATCAAGGTTAACTTGATAGCAAAATTTAAAAACGATGCGAAGGCAGTCGAGGAACTATTTTTAAAGGCTGCAAAGGCGTATCGTGAGTCATATTTCAACTCGATCTGGGCCCAACTTCGTGCATACCCCGGTGTACGGGAATATCTAGACGATATTGGCAAGGAGCGTTGGGCTCGTTGTTTCCAAACTCAATTGAGGTACACACATATGACTACAAATATCACAGAGTCTGTAAATGCCCTCTTCAAGCACGCCCGTAAGTTGCCGGTTACCGCCTTACTAGACCACATTATAGGTAAGTTACAGAATTGGTTCTATGATCGACGGACGCTTGCAGCTTCCCGATCAACCACATTGTCCGACTACGCAGAAAACATGTATGCCGAATATTCAGATAGTGCGCGGAGACACGTTGTAGACAACATTGACCAGTTCCATTTCCAGGTACGGGATGACAACCTTGACGGGATTGTTGATTTGAATGCTATGACGTGTAGTTGTCGGGAGTTTGATTACTTTAAGATTCCGTGCTCTCATGCTATTGCGGCTGCGACGATGCGAAATATAAATCCATACAGTCTGTGCGACGAGGCATATACGACGAACTTCTGGATATTGGCTTATGCAGAACCCATATTTCCAGTCGGACACGTCTCGACATGGAACAGTTCGCCAGAGTTTGTCAACATACCGGTGGAACCACCGAAGACTGTTCCAAGAGTTGGGAGGAGGAAGACAACTAGGATTCCTTCCACGGGCGAGGTACGACAAACACGTAAGTGTGGTCGCTGTGGCGCGTAGGGACACAATCGCAAAACATGTAGCGAACCCCTTACCACATTATGAATGTATGTTTTTGTTGTTCATTTACTTTTAAACATGTATGAAGTGGATTTTAAAGAAATTGGCAAGGTAACTTGTATCTCAAGAAACCAACCATGCATGCATGTATTTGCAACTCTATGTGTTCTACTACTATTATTATTATTGTGGGGATTGAATTGTATTATTATTGTGTGTTTCATGTATCATGCTTCGAGAATGAAATACGAATTAGAAAAGACAATATTGGAATTCCATAAATATTCAAAAAATGGGACGGCGCGCCCACATCTGTACAGTGTACTGACGCCTAAAAAATACAATATTATCTTGGGTCAAAGTGTCCAGCTTTGACCCAGTAACATCGTACTCGTAGAAGCGTACACAGAAAATCCCGCAATCTGTGGTGTTACTCTGTTGGGGTGTGCGAACCCGACGCACCCTCCATGGCACCACTGGCAGGTCCGGTCGTGATGCAAATATCCCGCCATGATGTAGTACCGCAGGTAGGATCGTACAAATGGGCTTCAGCTCCTTCTCGAGTGAATCTAGTGGAGTGGCCGATTGGAGTGAATCCCATACGGTTAAGTCACCTTCCACAAGATCAATTCCGAGCATCACCCAGTGGTTCCCACCTATGTTGATCGGGGTGTACACAATGTCTGCATCAGTCCAAGCCACATTCTGGTCTGACTGCCTACCGAACACATATCGAAATATTGTATTCTCTTGGCTCCAGGGGTATTCGATTCTCGTGGACAGGACCCCTGGTTTCATGGCCGCATACAGACTGTCTGTTCGGTTCAGCAGAGTCTGTACAAGAAGTACAAAATGATATTACTTACACAGATAATTAAAATA